AAAAGATTGATGACTGTTATTGAAGCGGAAGAGGTATGTAAGAATCGTAGTAATTGGCGTTCCTTAGTCTCTGCCTACCCCCATGGGAGACAGGCGTGAAGTTATGTATGTACCTCTATGTTAATTTGTAGTATCCCAAATGTCCTAATTTCGGCTTAACACTAATTCATATACTATAATTACAATATTTTTGTAGCAAAAAGCCAAAAAGGAAGAAGAGCTCCGTCGGCAGAAGGAGAAAGAAGATGAAAAAGGTCCAAAGGAGAAGAATTACAACTGGAAGAAGTCGCATAAGGGACGCTACTTCTACCGGGACGCGGCAGATGTTATACAAGAGGGTAAACCTTCGATGCATACTGTTACCAGGTATTTAGAATTAGTCGATTGTCGTTGAATAATTGTAGTTTAGCGGTCGAGAGTCTCGAGGTCAATGGAGCGCACAGTTTTGGGTCCTCAATAGCTTTGTCACCTTTGTCATCCAATCAGATTCTTTAAAATATAGTTCGCAATGATGTATTACTCGTTATCAGCAATGAGGAATTAGGGTAGATGACTTATATTTTAATGTCCGTCTGGTAATTTATTTAAAAACATTAGACACGTATTTTTTATTTTCTTACGGAAACGAATACTTTCGACGATATATTGATTTGAAATGTCTTGTGACGTCACTTCTCAGTACATTTTATACGTAGAAATGACGTTTTAGCCCCCACTCCTAAACTTTGATTCGTTTTATCTTAGTATTGTTTTATTATACGACAAAATAAAAAATACGTAATATTACTACTAATTATATTTTTAATTTTCATACCTTGTCATCATCCCCATTCAATATGGTATGTTTAACACTAAGATTTTTCTCAATTATTTCGTGGGTGCATTTATAAACATAGCTACTAATCCATAATATTCACATAGGTACACCTCATACACAGACATGAAGCAACAAATTGAGGATCAAATAGACATTTATTCAGTAAACGAGCAGACGGATCTCCTGATGGTAAGCCATCGCCGCCGCCCATGGACCGGACAAGTGCGTTACCCACCATTTGGGGATTGATTTGAGGATTCGGGGTTTGGGGAGGGATTCATTCGGAGGCCTAGTTACCACTAGGCCTCCGAATGAATCCGCAACACGGTGTGCAGCATCCAGTGGAGTGGCTATTACTGGAGTAATAGCGCCATTGCTGTAGCCATGTTACAGCACGAACGAATTGTCCCGCAGCAACGAGTTGTCCCGCGTGCCCGTGATCGACATGACGGGCAAGGAGAAGCGAGTGCTGAGCGGGTACCACGCGCTGCGCGCCGCCGCGCCGCGCTTCGAGCACGAGCCGCGCCGCCACTGTCAGCACTTCGCCGCGCCACAACTCGCGCACAACCTCATGCTCGTCGTGGACTGCTGCGAACAGGTCCACATCACTTTGCTAACATTGTTACTTCATCATAGAGTACAATATATTTGTGATGCATCTTTCCTCTTTTCACGGAAACTATGATATATTTATACAAACATTCTATTAGCATTAGCATATATGTATATATTTAAACAAAGCTTTACGTAATAATATGTATTTAAATATTTATTTTAACCATTATCATATTAAATAGTAAATTAAGTAAAAGTAGCGGATTACTTGCGTGAATATACCGAGAAAAGCTCTACTAGTTTCGAGCCACAGAGGGGCCCTTCTTTATAAGCAGCGTGCGCAGTCGCAGCCAAAGTGAAAGTTAAAGCAATTTTTTTCAATTAATCCTTAATTAGGGACTTTTGAAACGTCAAAAATTGAATTGTCTGTCCGTCTGTCTGTCAGTGAAGCTAGGCGCTCGTTCCAAATTGTTGAGTAGCCTACTGACATCGTCACGTGAGTAACCCGCGCTTTTTAGTTAATTTAGTATTTTCACGATAGTAGTTGTTATAAAAACATAGTCTATCGTCGTCACGTGAGTAACCCGCGCTTTTTAGTTAATTTAGTATTTTCACGATAGTAGTTGTTATAAAAACATAGTCTATCGTCACTAAGTCTGTTATTTAGTCAAAGCATTTTTCAGCTTTCCATATTCAAAACGCTTATATTCACCTGTCCATAATAAAAAAAAAAACATCTAAAAACAATCTCCTTCAATTCCACAGGACATAATTCAAAACGCTCGCGAGCTACAAGCGGCAGAAGACGAGATAGTAGTTCTGGAGAGAGACCTGGAGGACTGCAATACTAAGCTCCAGGAACAGGACAAAGTCATCAACAAGGTGCAAGGGATACTGCAACGAGTCGAGATGCTGAACCAACCTGATGTGTCGTTAGAGAGGGCTCATGATGTATTGGCTGACTTGAAGGTTTGTTCATAACTTTTAACGGCAGAAATTAAACAATCGATCTTAATCCAGAATCCATGGATCGAGACAGTTTCTTAGTCGACACTACATAGAACGAATGTTTAATATTATTAAATTATAGAACGAATATTTTATTAATTTCGGTCATAAATACTGAACTGTCAAGTTGAACTTTAAATGATTTTCAACTATAAATTGAACACGTTGGTATAGGGACGATGACAGGGTATGAAAATTATAGAGATAATTAGTCCGTCAGTTAGCCAATGAAAAAATATTGGACGCGTATTTTTTTATTTTGTTGTATAATAAAATGATACTTAGATATAACGAATCAAAAGTTTAGGAGTGGGGGCTAAAACGTCATTTCTACGTATAAAATGTACATAGAAGTGACGTCACGCGACGTTTCAAATTAATACATCTTCGAAACTCTTCGTTTCCGTAAAAAAATGAAAAATACGTGTGTAATGTTTTTAAATAATCTACTAGACGGACATTAAAATACAAATTAGGCATCTACCCTATTCTAGTTGTGCAATCTGAGGCCTTAGTACATTGTACACTTTAAAGTTGTCTAAACGAGTCTATTTCCCGGATAGTATAGTTCTGTCTCTACAATTTCTTTGTAAAATGAAAGAGATGGCACGATATTTAAGTACAACTTCAAATTGAGTAGCCTTTCAGTATTCGGGCGTATGTTTAACACTCAAAGTAGTTGGTTAATTAGTTTGGTTGGTTTTTTTATCCGGCCAATCAGAGCTCCAAACGCGGTCTTGTTTCGATTACTAGGCAGAGATGCACATTATGCCAATGTACAATGTAACACCCACTTTTCACTATTTATGTTATGAGTCCCTTGTAATAGGGGGTGACCCTATTGCCATATACCGGGCATAATTCCAAACTTCGTGCTGCTACTGAGAATTTTTTAAAAACCCAGTAATAATTTGCCCGACCCAGGAATCGAACCCGAGACCCCTTGCCCGGCAGTCGCACTTACTCCACTCGGCCAACGAGGCTGTCTAGTCTAGTTGAGGCAGTTACTTTGACGTAAAATAAATTCGTTATAAGCCCTCTGTACTAGCAGTTGCCCGATACTTTGCAATTTTACCCATTACTATTACCTTGTAACATACCAAAGTCATTAATACGACAGTAAAATCTTACGAAAATACATAGAACACACAACCAAAGCGTCACTTAAAATCTTAGATACCTTAAAACTAAACAAAATCCCTTATTTATTCCAGGAAACATACCCAGTAGAATACGACATGTTTGGGCTGGGTACTATAGCGGGTAACATAGTGAGTCCACTGCTGAGTTCCCTGCTGGCCCCCTGGGAGCCGCTGCAGGCGCCGGACGAGCACATACCGACCTTCCTGAAGTGGAGGAAGTTACTCACCGAGGAGGCCTACAACAGTTTGCTCTGGCAACACTTTGTGCCGCAACTTACTACTGCTGCCGAGTGAGTTTATATTTACATTTTCTGAATGTATATTTAATTTATGGTTACGATTCACTTAAGATACTTACAATTTAACAAATATTACTTATCAAGCCTTTATCTCTAAACGGATGGACAGTGGTGCACATATTCAATTCAACAGCTACTTAATTTGTTGAATCCCATGTAATGGGGAGTTATAGTCTATTTCTATAATATGACTCTTGAATGACAGTCTGAGCTGTCTGCACTACTGAGATATTTTGTAAAATAAGAAAATGCCACGAGTACTACGGAGCAAGGGCTCAGTAGTCACTTGTGAGGCTTGCGACCTCTGGCCGAACGCTGCATACAGA